AGAGAGAGAGAGGGGGGGGCAGACAGACAGACAGACAGACAGACAGAGACAGAGACAAAGAGAGTGAAAGAACAGGGGGAGGTATTACATGTCTGTCGTGTGTTACCTGTATATATATCAATACATACCACTATCACAATGCCTGTGAAGGAGAGAACGCTGTAGAAATGGTGATTAGCTTGTGACCACCAACACCTGGAGAAAAATAGAAGTATATATAATGAACAAGTAAAACATATAGACAACAGAGAAACAAGACATGGCTATTTTTACTTTTTTAAATATATAGTTCTAGTTGCCCACTACATGTTTTTCTTCTTTCTTCATAACTGCATATGCAGTACAGAAAGTTTTACTTTCATCTGTTTTTGAAAAGCATTATATTCACTGTTTGGATACCATAACTGGATTGAGCATGTTTATTTCACACATTTTGTTATTTCATACAGACACAGTGGAGTCTACTTAATAAACTGAAGTCTGCCGGATCACCGGATTTTCTTCAGCTTGGCTGAGTTTTCAGTTTAGAAAGGTTTCTCCGATAGAAGGAAAAAAATGAGTGATATTTTCTTTCAGTTTACAGCCATTTTGGGTTTAATTGTATCCGATTTAAGCGGACTCCATTATATTTGGAATACCAGTTGTAAAGGGAGAAATTAAGCTTTCCCCCAGGGCTTGTAGTATTCTATCTAATCTTTTAACAGAATGTGATGGTCAACTGTTCTGTGATGATAGCTGCATGCTGGACATGGAGTGAGATGTAACACTTTGATGTTTGGTGAGACAGAAATATAAAAGCACGATTTTTAAAATGGTCACAAAAGACTGCTTATTGGTGACCCTTCCTTTATTCGTTCAACAAGAAGCACATGGACACAATAAAGGTAATTGAGTGCAAGGAAAGAGTAAAAGAGACAGACGAGCACAATAGAGCGAAAAAAAAAAGAAGTTGGACCTATCGCTGTGGGGCCCTCCAACCATTGATTTTTTCCTTTGTCAAATAATAGAATACAAAGTAGGAGGGTTAAAAAAAAGCTACTTGAGCTCTCCATCCAGAACTTACTTGACATACTGTGCAGTCCCCACTCTCAGTGAGGCCACATTTGGGTTGCACTAACGTTATGCATGAAGGATGTTTTTATCTTATATGAAGAACGAGAGTTTGAAATACAAATCTATCAGTAAAATAATTTTTGTATACTTGGAATGCAATGCAACTGACATCTTACCAGGTTGAGCATTTTGAGTCATAGCCAGACAGTGTCATCATCAAAATGACAAATATCACTGACAGTATAGGCACACCTGTGAGTGAGTGGGGGGGGGGGGGGAGAGAAAAGCATTGTTATCAATTATGTTAATCAAATACAGGGTGGGTCTGGTATGAGAGGAACTGTTTAAATGTAGTAAGGTTTTTTTTACAGCCTATGTAAGTGTTTTAGAGCCTATAAATGGCAGGTTTGCACTGTATGTTTCCCAGGAATTTGAGATTATTTCAGACTACTATCAGGTCTGCTGGGGTAGCAGTATAAGTTGTAAAGCGCATAATATAGAGCTTGTTGTTGAGCGGGAATATTTACACTATATGAATCCTATCTATTATTATTATTACGTCCTCATTGACACAATTTCGATCATTAAAGAGGCAGGCTTCTATCTCGCCTATCAGGGTCAACTGAGTCTGAAAGGGACAGTACCGTATGTCCCAGCAGAAAGGTCGAGATATTCAATTAAAATTCTCCCTTCATGGGAACTGAACGAGGGTTCTGCTTGTGATGGCAAAGTACCTAACTGCTACACCATAGACGCCAGAGAGAGGAACTGTAAGAATAGAACTACATAAGAAGTTTTAAGAAGGAGAGGGATGGGACAGAAATGTTGCTTTGTAACTCTGGTCTCATAAAGATTATCTGCCTCCCCTTAAGAACGGCCCCTTCCCTTTGAAATATTACCTTTTCCTCATATCAATTGCCCCTCCCTTCTTGGTAGAAAAAAATCTATTGGACATTGTCTACCTGTTTAATATGTCAAGACAAAATTAATTTTATTATGAGTTCAAATGACTAATTCAGACAATCAATATTTGAAAGTCTTTTTGTTACAGTCCCTAAAACAAGTGTAACTTTAAACCCCTCTCCCCCCCAAACCCCTACATTTCTCATGCTAAACAATACGAGATTTGGAATTGAATGAACAATATATAGACAGAAGCAGAAAGAAAAATTACACTTAATACATTCAGGTCACGAAATGAAGTTAAACAAAGTGACCAATATACACACCCCAGCCAATGCACAAAAACTTGAACAATCCCGCATTCATGCTCTCTGGACTGCGACTGTAATTGCTGAAGAGCATTTGAATCGCATCCAGAAGGATGAAAGTAAAGCTTGCTAGGGTGAACAACTGGAGAAGTATTTTACTGATGATGCATGAAACCTGAAAGGAAAAAAGGCCAGGATCAAATAGTGATTTATAAAATCTTTTTTCTGCAGTTGAATCTTGAATAATAGTAGGCCTAATAAGCAACTCACAACTCAAGCACAGATAGGCCTACTCAAAGACATGAGGAAAAAAAAGTTCTTTACTTCCGATTGACAATCACAAACAGTAAAAAGAAATTTTGATTCCTGAATTCTTGCTCAAATGTATTAACTTTTAATCAAGAATACTTAGAAGCAAGTATATGACTAGGCCTACAACAATTTGGATTTTCAGATTTTCAGTGTTCATATCAACCCCATCGACTCCTATTATAGAGATAGCGGACCTGGTTTTCCCCCCACTCTGCAATGTAAATGAAACACTCTCACATCTTATAAAAAATTGCAGTTTAGACACAGTCAAAGTCAAACAGAGAATTTATCACACTGACCATATCAATTTCATAGAATTGTAGCAAAAACATTATTCTACCAATCTATGAAGTTTTACGGCTCTAACATTATTAGTATAAAAGAAATTAGCATTTTAGTAGTAATGCTCTAACCCCCACATCCCCTCCATAACTGGCAGTCCCAAGTTAAAATATGAACTGAACATGCATTTTAATCTTTACCTCTCCTTCAGAGCTCAGCAGGCATTTCAAGCAAATTATGTTGATGCAAATGACTGCCAAGATGAAATTGAAGTGGATGGCCTGTCTTTCCTGGCACAGGAGTCTGGAGAGGAGAGACCAGTTTTCTTACATCGCAGATAAAAAGGCAATACTTGTGTTCATTTTGCACAAACCACAAACTAAGCTTGCCCCCCACACACACAAATACCCCCTAAAAACTTTTCACTCAGTAGGATGTTTTGAGGATGAAAGCTACTATAAATTACAGCTACCTGATAGCTGCTAGCATTTTAAATTGTTCATGTTGTATAAGATTAAAAATTACTTTTCAAAAGGTGAGTTGTCAAGTGATTATAACTCTTATCACAATCATAGTAAATAACTTATACCAAACATAAAATTTCAATTATTAGAAATTCAGGAAGAAAATGTGGTCATGAGATTTAAAGACAAACTTTTCAATCAATTATTTCATTTGTCTGTGTACCATAAAGATATATTACCTCCAGGCTAAGAGGTACAGTAATAATGCTGGCATCAAAAACACCAGTGCGATGATGCAGGCAAGGATCAACGGCAAATTGTCATATGTGCTTTCAGAGACCAGCACCTGAAACAATAAAAAAGACAGCTTTGCATGACTTTACAGAATGATGGTTTTCTTAGGGTCCATTTAGATTGTGATGAAAGCAGTTGAGGAAGAGACACTGATGAACTGAAACGTTAACGTTTCAAGTGTTTCTTAAATTTTTCCTTTTTCTAATCATCCTCAGGTCTGAGCCTTGTTGTCCTTTCTTTCCCCCCTCTTCTTCATTTCCATGAAAGAGATGGATAGCAGTACTTAAAAAGATATTTCAACTGGGAGTTTAACTGAAATGCAAATGACATTCCATATCTTCCGTAACATTGTAAAACTCATTCTACACCAAGTACTGAACAATCAGTAGCACAACAGTTGCCATTGTGATGAAATACAGACATGTGTAAGTGCTTGTTGAGCTGACTTCGATCTTACTTTCGTTGATTTATTCATTTGATAATAAAAAAATAATTGAATTTTAAATTAATATATCTAACCTAATTTCATTTGATTTATTCATTTATTGATACCAATAATAAAACCCCCCCCCACTGAAATTAAAATTAATTTCAAATTTACTTTCTTTCCCCATTTCAATAAAAATCTAGTATAATATACTTCTCAGAGAGTTTTCCCCCCTTTAGTACAGCGCTGTGAAAAAAGAGATAGTGCTTCAAGTTCAAGATTCAAACATACAAATCTAAAGTGGTCAGCAGAGGCAAACATATCACGCAACAGTGTTGAAGACTTGTCAAACTCCTCAACTAGAAACCTATAATTGATGACACTTGAAATTAAACCATCTAAACAAACCAAATGTCCCTCCCTTTTTCGAAGAGATTAACAGAAGTCTTTCTGAGAGTAGTATATAGGCCTATTATACAAATGTGCATGCATTCAGAAAAGCATTCCATATCAACGAGCACACAAAATAGCTTACAGTTTTGTTCACAGGCACCATGATGAGTGTGAAGTGTCCAGGCAAAGGGCACAGACAGTGTGTTATGTTGGTCATTGTCTCCACCACTGTGCAGGTGTTATTGACCCACAGACCTGTTGTACTCTCCCTGTGGGGCGGCAATAGATGAGGAAACAGGTGAAAAACAATAACCAGTTTGAACATTTTGTACCCTTATTGTTTCACAATTTATATAATCTAGGCAGTAGCCATGGAGCTGCTTCGATCCTGCATGTAAGGACCAACCTTTCCTGAGAGGGACACAACATTCTAGCGCACAGACAAAGACAGTCAAGAAAAATAACTTTCCCCTTCAGGAACTGAACCAACAACTTCTGAGTGTAACAGCAAAGGGCCTAACCATTACACCACAGACACCATCTAGAAAAAACTTTTCAGCCCCAGTAGAACTTTAGTTTGAAAAGGAAAGTGTATTACTCAGACACTTCATGGATTCTCCAGTCCAAAATTAATGGATGTAAATGTAACCGTGTAAGTTTAACTGCTTCAGGTTATATTGTTAATTCACACAGTCAAAGCAACATTACATTCTCTTATGAATATGTACAGGATAATGATTTGCATTAAACAATTGCATTTCTCATTTCATCAATGTAAGTGAAAATTGAGAAATCAAACAGAAACAAAGTTAAAAACAAAACAAAAACAGGACAGATTTTGACCACAGGATAGTTATGTGTGTTTTAGAAAATATGGGCTTTAAGAAGTTTACAATATTTATTTATTGATTTCTGTCTCATACTGGTAATCAAAAATCAGAAGCAGCCAGAAAACAAAACAAAAGATCAAATGCAAAATGTAAAGTGAAGGTATACGGCAGCCACATCACATTTAGCATTTTATCCTTAACACCTGTACAAATAACCCCTACAACAAGCTCACCTTTTTTCTCTTTCCCATGACAAGCAAATTGTTGTTTCTCTAATAGCAAACTGATCCTTGATCTGAAAAGCAAAGATGACACTGATCTGAAACATGAGTTCTTCATTCCAGATCATCAGTTCCCTCCCCCCTTTCATCATGGTTCAACAGTCTAATTCATCTGCCAGTTTGTGCGTGTGTTTACATGTAAATCTGAATGTCTTCATTAGGTTGTGCTACAGAGCATGCTTCTGTAATTTTTAAGGTGTGATATTTTTATAATGTAATGCGCATAGAGCATTTTTTAGAAAATGGAAATGCTCAGCAGAAATGCTATTTATTATTTATTATAAAGTTTTTGACTGTCTACCTTAGCCATCACTTTCAATTTTTACCTGACTTCAAGAATAGTATTTTAGAAAATGTAATGCATAGTCTGTTTATATAGTCTGTTCCTGAAAGCACACTCGTTTCTTCCAAACCACATATTATCTGTAATATAGTGAGTTCTTGATGTTCTCAAAATAGTTACTCAGAAAATCAAAAGATATGGCTGATAAGCGTCATAAATGAAATGTTTATATAACCACTTCGTGCATTATGAAATAAAAGCCAAATTAACAGCACCATTTTTGTTACATTCTTTTCATCCCTTAAAGAGTTGGGTGGTTATAAATAATTCTATTGCATATTGGAAGGAAATATAATCCATCTATTAATGGCATAGCTCCATGAACATCTATGCTCAAAAGTACACATGAGGCATGAACTTTGGTGTATCATCTTATCCTTCTCTCTTTCCCACTCTGTCTCCTTTCTTCTTTTCGTCTCTAAACTATGTGTACAGCCCTTGAAATGACTTACCGGTGCTCTTGTCTAGTAATATCGTAGGGCAGTGTACTCAAATAAAAAACCAAACACAGTTCTCATGACATTTACAGGCCCTACATTATTACAGTTAAAGTGACCCATCCTAAAAACTAAGTTTTTTTCGCATGTGTTTTTTTCCCTTCAAATTGTATGTGTGCTACTTGACAAAATGTCATGCTCATAAGATAATTGCCAAAGTCACTTTTGCCTGGTTTGGAGTTTTTGGTACTGAAATGAAGAGCACAGCCAGCTTGGTATTATAGTTCATTTGGACAAAAGAATAATCCAAATAAAAAATCAACTGAGTGTACCAAAATCCAAGCATTTCAGAGTCAATTGTTCGAAAGAAACAGTTTTTTTTTCTCAAAATGGCTAAATGTGACTTGGGTATTAATCTTCTGAGCATGACGATATTGAACAGCTACTTACGTTGACAGCCTGGTTGTGTGGAATAACCACAGGATACAACTTGTCGGACGTTCCCTCTGACTTTTGTAGTGGTATGTAAGAAAACACATCAGACACATACGTCTCATCTGGGGCTCTGAAAAAAAAACATTTAAAAGGAACAGAATCAGGATAACTGATGGTCTATAAGCAGCAACACGTAAATTCATTTTTTTCTCAAATTTTTTTTATCAAGACACAGATTATGGTGGGTGTTATTAAGTGAAAAAGCCAGGTTACGAAAACTATCATCTCCTTCTCCTCCTCCTCCTCCTCCTCCTCCTCCTCATCATCATCATCACATCATTATCATCATCATCATCATCATCATCATCATCATCATCATCATCATCATCATCATCATCATTGTTGTTGTTTTTGTAAGCACAATAAGAACTAGAAAAGAAATTGGTTGAGACTTGAGTATTGGAATTTTTATATCATTATAAAATAAGTTCAATGTTTTATCCTTATGAGCTTCTTCACAAACTTGATAACAAACAAACATCATCATCATCATCATCATCATCATCATCATCATCATCATCATCATCATCATCATCATCATCATCTTCATTCTTTGCATAGAAAACGGAAGGTTTCCTTCTCGTCTGTTTTTGTTTGCGATATAATTATACTATAAGTGGAAAAAATATTTTATTTCTGGCTCTTCTTACCGCCATCTGCTGCCTCTCTCCAAGAGAGGCAAAATGGAATGTGAATATGTCATGACCATCAGCTGTGTAGTTGTGCTCACGTTTACTGGGGAAATAAAGAAGTAAAAACTTAACATCTCACCATAGTCTGGAGAGAAAGAATTAGAGGGTGAATACATTTAAAAAAATGTTATTTGAAATGTTGAGAAGAGATCTAATACAGTCCTAGAAGTTTGATTTAAATTGTTCTTTACTGTAGGAGAGTCTGGCTATCTCGTTGTCTGTCTGTCTGTTTGTCTGTTCGTTTGTCCATCTGTTTGTCCATCTATCTAATTATCTTGTTTCTGTCTGTCTGTCTGTCTGTCTGTTTGTCTGTCTGTTTGTCTGTCTGTCTGCCTATCTGTCTGTCTGTCTCCGTCTCTCTCAAAGCTTGTTTAAGTAAACATTTTATATATATATATGTGCGTGTGTGTGTGTGTGTGTGTGTGTGTGTGTGTGTGTGTGTGTGTGTGTGTGTGTGTGTGTGTGTGTGTGTGTGTGTGTGTGTGTGGCA